GCCCAGACCCCTCTCCTGACCCTCAGAACGTCATATTTTTTGAGTGACCACAATCATCGTAGAAACATGTAACATTTGAGTGTTTGTTGTGTAGCAGGCACTGATTTCATTTTGTTGTGGGTAGCTACTATTTGTATTAATTCCACTTAATAAGCAAGGACACTGGGTTCAGGAGCCATAAGGCGCTTGGTCATGCAGCAAGTTACCGGGGAGGCCCAGGATGCAAACCTGCAGCTTGCCAGACAGCTCTGCGTCCCTTGGCCGCTTAGCAAGGCTCTCCCTCTCTGGAAGGCTTATCCTGACAGTGAGGCCCAGAATTCTAACAAGCATCGCCAGAGTCCTTTCTTTTATTCTGTTTATGCTTTGCTGGACTTATTGGCCACAAAATATTGCAACCCGTAGCATGTCCAGACGTGCAAGGGCTCTCAGAAGCAGAGTGCTGATGGGTGCATTTGCTGTGCTGTGAGGCTGGTTGGTGTATGGGGCCTGGCCTGGATCACCAGCCAGCCCTTGTTCTCCAGGGTGTCTTGGGGCTCTGCCCTAGTACAGGGGCCAGTTCCCAAGCTCTGATGCTGGGTGTGACCTGGCTTGTGCACCCAATTCAGCAAAAATCTAGGACACGCCAGTAGGGTGCCTGGGTGTGCCTGCCAGGCGTGCCCGGGCAGTAGGTGACAGCCTGTTCCGTGTGGCATCTGCCTGCCCCTTCCCTATATCTCTTGCGAGAGGACTCCGCTCCTGGGGTAGAAGTGGGTTTCTAGCATGGGGCCCTGTCTTCTGGCTCCTGGACCAGGTCTACCTGAAACCCTCAACTCTTAGTCCTAGGGACTCACCTTCCTCCCGCTTAGCTTTTTTTTTTGAGACATAGTCTTGCTCTGTTGCCCGGGCTAGAGTGCCATGGGTTCAGCCTAGCTCACAGCGACCTCAAACTCCTGGGCTCAAGCAATCCTTCTGCCTCAGCCTCCCGAGTAGCTGGGACTACAGGCATGCGCCACCATGTCCAGCTAATTTTTTCTGTATATTTTTAGTTGTCTAGCTAATTTCTTTCTGTTTTTAGTAGAGGTGGGGTCTCACTCTTGCTCAGGCTGGTCTTGAGCTCCTGAGCTCAAGAGATCCTCCTGCCTCTGTCTCCTGGAGTGCTAGGATTATAGGCGTGAGCCACCGCGCCTGGACCCTCCCACTTGGTCTTGGGCCACTGAGTTAATCTGAATTTGAGCTGGGATGGTGGGAAAGCCTCTAGTGGAATGCTTCACATGGAAAAAAGCAAAATAAGTTGTAGAACCGTGTGTCAGTATAGAAGACAACACATACCCCCTGACACACACACTCACACATACTGTATATGTGTGTAGGAAAAAAACCTGATGGAATTATTCCAGGCTGTCAATAGCACATTTTATCAGAGGTGGGACTATATGAGGGACTTTCACTTTCTAAGTCACACATTTTTGTAAGGCTAATTTTTTAACATCGTACATACATTTCTTTGTAATAAGGGGAAGTTTAAAAAATATTTGTAATAAGGGGAAGTTTAAAAAATATTTTAAGGAGACTATATCTTGCTTAGCTGAACCAGTAGTTGAGATTAAAAATGAGCTATGTCAAGTTGTTGAAGCAGGTGACAGTGACCTCAGCTGATGACCTGGCCCCAATACTGTTGGCACCTAGGCGTGAGCCGTGGGCTGGTGGGTGTGACCCATCGCGCGGGCCCGGGAGTTGGGGGCCCTCCTGGGAGGGTCCTGGCTGTGTCTCTCAGGAGGGGCCCCTGGAGCTGAACCTGGAGCCAAGGAAGGATCTGGGGAAGAATTGTGGGGAGGGGGGCAGCCAGAGTGGTTCTCCACTGCTGGGGTGCCCTGTGCACTGCCCCCCGCCCCCTGCACGGTCGCCTCTGACCTGGCTGCCAAGGCCTGAGCCATTGGGGAAACCCCTGCTGCAGGAGGCCCTGAGGATTCCGTGGACTGAGAGTGGAAGAGGGGAGGGGCGGCTGTGCCTGGAGGTGCTTCACAAGCTCTTACTTTCTGTGTGAGCCTCAAGACACCCCCCGACACACACACACACACACACACACACACACACACACACACACTCACTCTCTCCCTCTCTCCCTCCCTCTCTCTCTCTCTCTCTCTCTCTCTCTCTCTCCAACCACGGTCAGTTGAGGCTCTCCCGCTGTGGGCTGGCAAGTCTAAGGGCAGGACCCTGCACGTCTGCCCGAGCAGTGGGTCCAGGTGGATCTCTGCTAAAATTCTCACCGGTGTCCTGCTGATACAGGCAAAAGCCCCGGACCACTGTCTCCAGGCCTGGGGCAGGGTGCAGGGACCCGGCGCCGAGAGCCCGGAGGCCTGCTGTGAGCGCTGCTGCCCACTAGGTGGCACTGTCCCTCAGCAAATGCCCCAGGCTGCTCTGCCCCAGGCGGTCCCTGAGCCAGAGAGGACTCCCCAGTGGACCCTCCCATGGCACACCACCCGACATTACTCCCCCCCGAGGGCTGGAGAGGTCTGATACCTGGGACACTGCTTCCCTCCCTGAGACCCAGGGAGAGACCCTGGGAGGCCACAGTGGGCCCCTCCACCTGCTGCAGCCACGCCCAGGCCCCGCCCTCTGTTGAGTGTGTGCTGGGGCCCAGGCAGATTCTGGGGACCCCGGGGTGGACCTGCACCTTAGGGGCTTACCAGGAGGTTCCAGCAGAGGCCCAGTATGGAGCAGTGGGCCCTACCAGTTCACAGTCTGCCTGACCTCTGCTGAGCTGAGACCATCCATGAATGACAGCCTCCTTTCCCTCCCTGTCCTCTGTGACCCCCTCCTGCCCCCCATTTTCTTTCTCCCTCTTCCCTCTTAATCACACTGGCATCCTCCAGGGTCATCCTCTCTCTCCTCTGCCCAGACCCCTCTCCTGACCCTCAGAACGTCATGTGTGACTCTCAACTGAGCATCTTGCCAGACACCCCGTGCTCACAGATCCAGATTCATCACCCCTCCCCGTCTTAGAACCCCTTCCTCCACCTGGATCCTCTGTCCTGACCAGTGCACCAGCAAATACCCAGTATTCCGAGGACTCACCCTGACTCCTCTTCCGCAGGGATTTGGTTAGTCCTTCAGACCTGCGGCTCCCAACCCCTGGGCCACGGCCCGGTGTCGGTCCATGGTCTGTTAGGAACTGGGCTGCACATCATCGCCTGAACCCCATCCCCCCACATCCCCCCACCTCGTCCATGGAAAATTGGCAGGTGAGCAAGCGAAGCTTCTTCTGTATTTACAGCCACTCCCCATCGCTTACACCACCCGCCTCCCACCTCCCATCCCTACCCCCACCCCCACCCCCTGGTCTGGGGACGCTGCTTTAGACTCTCCTGCCTTAGGACTTCTCGGATCCGCCCTGTCTCTCCCTCCTGCTCAGAGCCCCCATCTTGGTCAGCCTGTGTTAATTCTTGTCTCGATTGCTATGAATCGCTCCTACCTGGCATCTCAACTTCTCTTGCCCCCTCTGGTCCATCCTCCACCCCTAGAATGGCTTTTGAAGGCTCAGAGTGGCATCAACAGGTCTCTCCCCAGCTCAAAATCTTTCAGTGGCTTCCTGCAGTCTCAAGGATAAAATCCAGCCCCTTTAACACGATGGGCAGGATCCCCTGCCCACCCCCCGAGACTACGGCCTCACTCACACCATAAAGGGCCACAGAGAATAGCATCAGCTCTTGACTTAGGCTGCGTGTCCAGGCCTTTCTGCCTCTGCACACGTGCTTCTTGGCCACCAGGAACCCAGCCTTAACCCCCAGCCTCGCTCCCTGCCTCCTGCATCCTGGGCCGGGCCCTCCTGTCACATGTGTGCGCACCTTGGCTGGCTGCTCCCCGCACTGTCTCCTGGTCTGTCTGTTGACCAGACTCTGAGCCCCTCAAGCTCGGGACTTTGGCTTCCATCTGCGTATTCAAGGGACTGGGCCCCCTGAGCCCCCATTGCATGCCTGGGTTCTGGTCTGGGAGCCTGTGGTCTGCCAGAAAGGCAGCAGGTTCTCTGAGCATGGTCTCCTGGTCCCGAGGGGTAGCAGCACACCTGACAGCCGGGAGGACTCGGCTTTGAACCAGAGGAAATCCATACTTCTCGGGAAGGTCGCCTCACTGAGAAAGGCCAGCTGCCCAGTGCGGGGACAGCTTCCCGGAGCAGGCTCTGCGGAGTGCTGAGTCCCTGCCTTTCTCGCGGCCAGTGCTGCTGCTTTTAGAGTATGTATTGGTTGTTTT